ACATGGAGCGTCTCCAGTTGGTTTGCGGCGGTACGTCACAAAACAGCGTAGACGACATGACACCCGACGTCCTCGGATGGGCAGGTCTGGTTTACGAGCACCAGCTGGGTGAGGAGAAGTACACATTCATCGTAAGTGGACCTGGTAATTTCAGAAGAGGCATCTACTTACAGCAAACAGGAAGATGTCAAGGAGCCAAAGTCCGTCACTTTACTCATCAAGGGCCCAAATACGCACACTATCGCTCAGATCAAGGACGCCGTTCGCGACGGTTTGAGGAGTGTGTACAACATGATCGTCGACGGAAGCGTCGTACCAGGCGGAGGTGCTTTCCAAGTTGCATGCGCGGCTCATCTTGAGAGCGAGCAATTCAAGAAGACGGTCAAGGGTAAAGCAAAGTGGGGTGTCTCAGCTTTTGCGGACGCTCTGCTTGTCATTCCCAAGACCCTGGCAGCCAACTCAGGTCACGATATTCAAGACTCACGTAAGTAACGTGTTGCCTCCCTTCGTCGAACTGTACTTACTAGGTGACAGTGGCTGCACTACAAGACGAGCATGCTGAAGGCAATGTTGTTGGTCTGAACCTCGCAACCGGAGAAGCCATGGACCCTACCCAAGAAGGTGTCTACGATTCGTTCCGAGTTCTGCGTAACGCCATAGCGTCTGCTACCGGTATCGCATCAAACTTGCTGCTATGCGACGAGATGCTGAAGGCACGACAAATGGTGAGTAGAAACACGTGCTATGCGATGGCTCGAGCTAATTGATGAACAGGGACGACAACCTGGACCTGGCGGCGAGGATCAATAATCACGTCGCATTATCTCTGGACGATCAGATACGCCACCGCAGCATTCTTGCCGGCGCACCGTTCTAGCCACATAGAAGCTCAGAACAAGCGGATAGCTGGAGGAAAGGCTACATCGTGGGTCACAACTTGATCCGCGCGGGTGTTGCATGCCGACTGTCTAAATAGATTAAAATAATACGACCACGTCACATGGCCAAACTAGCTCTGTGGAGAGTGACTGTGTTTTATTTTCTGCTTTCTTCTTCAGGATCAAGACTTGCTACTTGTCAAGTCGTCGCGTAAAGAGACTTCGTTTACGAGGGAGGGATGGGTTCTGCACGCTGAAACACGTGCAAAGATTCCCACCTGGGCAATACTGGACCCCTATCCGGCCATGCCGACCAGGGTGATTTAAGCTTAAATTTAGCGTTCGGCTAGGACGGATGCTGCTCTGGTGCGGGGGCATGGCCTCGGTAGCGCAGGGCATCGTGAAGCTGGGAGAGTGCCAAATGGGTAGCGACAGCAACGAATACGTGTCTTGTGGGAAGACAGGTCCCAAGACTCCTTGTACTGTACTTGCATGTCTACATATTCTGAATCAGCGATGCACTTGGCATGCGAAAGATCTACAACAGACCCATCAATAGATCTCCAGGGCGTGCATGCCAAGCCTGTTGGAAACAAGACGGCCAAAACAGCCACTGTCGTTCACTCGCTGGCTGGTAGCTCGATCTCTTGCTTCCTTCCCCCTCGTTCGCGCTCCGATGGCAGTGACAACGTAGTCATACCATACGCTCTTTCCACACTCATTCCCTATCCGGCGACGCAGCGCAACCGATACCCGCATTTCGATTCCACACACTCCCTCGGGCCATGTTTCGATATCGACGTTACCGCGCCTTTTTAGTCTTCGCTGTCATTGCTGTACTAGCGCTATACAAATTCGGGGGCTCGACCGCAGCATGGAGAGAAGCCGCATCGAATGCGGTTGGGGCAGCTGGCCTGAAAGGCGACGCTGAGGAGGCTCCGCAGGCGGACACGAAGCCGCGCCCTGCTGTGGCGCACGAGACGAGGAGTCTGAAGCTGGATGTACCCGCTGCCAGCACGTCGCATTCGCTTCAGACGCCACCTCCCGTGAAGACTCCGGCTGCATCGTCGACATTGAGCCCTGCTGTCACAGAGCAGCAGCAGAAGCCCTCTATCCCTACACCGATCCGACCGCAGCCTCACGGCCAGCCCGCTATCGCAAACCCTGCATTAGAACCATCATCGATCATCGATGCGATCCACTGGACGAAGCTTCCGGAGCATTTCCCCGTAGCCCCCGAATCGCTCATCAAGCTGCCATCGGGCACGCCTAAAACCATACCAAAGATCCAAGCCAACTTCAAGAAGGAAGATGACATAGCCAAGGTTGACAGGATTGCAAAGCTGGATAAGATCAGGAGTGTGGCAAAGAAGTCATGGGAAGGATACAAGGCGAATGCCTGGCTGCACGACGAGCTGCGGCCACAGTCGGGCACTTTCAGAGATCCTTTCGCACACTGGGGCGCAACGCTGGTCGATGCCCTGGATACTTTGTGGATTATGGGACTCAAGGACGAGTTTGAAGAAGCAGTAAAAGCAGTGGACAAGATCGATTTCACCACCACCCCACGCGCAGATATTCCCTTATTCGAGACGACAATTCGCTATCTCGGTGGGCTGCTGGCTGCCTACGACTTGAGCGAAAAGAAGTACAAGAATCTGCTAAGCAAGGCAGTGGAGCTTGCCGAAATTCTCATCAGCGCCTTTGACACACCGAACCGCATGCCAGAGACATACTATTATTGGAGACCCGATTTTGCATCCCAACAGCACCGCGCCAGTTCACACGTTGTTCTTGCCGAAATAGGCTCCCTCTCTATGGAATTCACCCGACTTGCGCAGCTGACGGGTGAGCACAAATACTACGATGCTATTGCGCGCATCACGGATCATCTCGAAGAATTCCAAGGCAAAACTCAACTCCCCGGGATGTGGCCTACATACCTGGACGCTTCCGGGTGTGGGAGACAATACATCGATTTGCCTCCTCAAGAGCCTCTCAAAGCTCCAGCAGATTACCTACATGATCAGCTATCGACCCAGACCGATCCGGCTACGCCTTCTCCCACCGGGGAACTATCTCCGGACGGCAAGAAGTACGTGCCTTTGGATTTGCCAGAGCCAGTCATGCTTGCGTCAGACGATTCCCCAGTCGACTCGGGCGCAAAGGAAGAGTCTATAGTCCCTGGAACGGCCGGGAAGGCGCAAATCAAGAACTGGGACAGTAGTCCGGTGGAAAGGCGACAGCTTGATGTCGATGGATCTGAGCCACCAAAGGGGGCGCTCAATGCCCAGGGGCCCACTTCGACCTCATCTGCCTCCAGCACCAGGCCGACACCCCCAGAGTGCATACCCCAAGGATTCACATCGAGCTCCAGCTATGGCCGCGAAGAGTTCACGCTTGGCGGCATGTCAGACTCTACATACGAATATCTACCAAAACAGTACTTGCTTCTCGGTGGTCAGATCGAGAAATACCGGTCTATGTACGAACAGTCGATGGACGTTGTGAAGAAGCACTTGCTTTTCCGACCGATGCTTCCGAAAGGGGAAGACGTTCTGTTCTCTGGCAAATTGAATGTCCCGTCTGGTATTGACGATGCTAAAATCGGTGACCTTACCGCTGAAAACGCGCATCTCACCTGTTTTGCCGGTGGCATGTTTGGCATGGGCGCAAAGCTATTTGATCGCCCCGATGATCTCGAGATCGCGAAGAAGCTGACGGAGGGCTGCGTCTGGAGTTACAGCATGACACCAACCGGCATCATGCCGGAGTCGTTCGAGGTTGCCCCTTGTGAGGACAGGAAGGATTGTGCGTGGAACGAGACTGCTTATTGGGAGTACATCGACCCACGGTACGAGTCTCGAATGGAGAGTTACAAAGAGCAGCGCAAAGTATACGAGTCGCAGATTCACTCTGCTTCATCGTGGTACGAAGCGCAGCTGGCTGCTATGACCGCACTACCTACACCTACCCCAGCTGCTGCAGTTGAAGCCAAGGCCACGTCTACCATGGTATTCGCTGATACGCTAGATAAGCGTCAACTCGCCGGGCTAGTGGATGATGTGGAAATTGCACATATGCCGTCTGCTTCTGCGAGCGCCTTGCAAGATCACGAATCGGTTATGGGTGGGGAGTCTGAGGAAGGCGAGGGTCCACCAACCAAAGTTCAACCTGCACTGAACATTGCGGAACTTGCGCCGCAGCCTGATCTGACTTTGCCAAACTTCCCATACGTCTACTCGCCGCAGCCAGTCCTGGACCACAAAGACTTCGTCCAGAACAGGATTCAAGAGGGTCGTTTACCGCCCGGCGTTACAACGATCGGGTCAAAGAGTTACATTCTCCGGTAAGGCTCTGACTCCCAAAATGTATCTGAGCTTGATATCTAATATCTTTCTAGCCCCGAAGCGATAGAGTCCGTCTGGTACATGTACCGCATAACCGGCGATCGTCACTGGCGCGACGCAGGTTGGCGCATGTTCCTTGCCATTGAGCAACACACGACCACTGAGTACGGTAACTCGGCCATTGACGACGTTACCAAGCTAGTGCCCGAACTCAGCGACGAAATGGAGAGTTTCTGGTTAGCGGAGACACTGAAGTACTTCTACCTGCTGTTTGCAGAGGAAGATGTGATTAGCTTGGATGAGTGGGTATTGAATACCGAGGCACATCCTTTCAAAAGACCTACGTAGATGATACGAGTGGGTTTGGATAACTATCCAATGTTTCTGTATGGAGTTTGAGGAGTTGGTATCATTGTGACTGCAATGGACAGTCTTCATCAAGATACGTTATCTTCAAGTTTCGCAACAGAACCTGTGAGCTGAGTGCAGTAACGTTGCTACTATACAGCAGCCTAAAATAAGAGCCGAGGGCAACTCAAATGACATTGTAAATTCCTGGACGACATACTGACACGCATTGTATCTTACACTTGGGAGTAGCAGGCAACAGAGGAGTGTAAACTAAAAGGCTAGGTTCCGGAATCGTATCTACACAGTACATAGGGCCAGCCCCAGCGTAATGAGAGTAGACAAACGGCTACCAAATTCTTCCTACCTGCGCTTCCTCTCTCGACTCATACTACCGGCTCTTGTAGAGTTGTCTCCCGATATCTCAGCGCTTCTCACTGGCAGTAAGCTGAGAGTCGATTATATGCTGGGAATGTCGAGCAGCATCGTCGCCTGGAAGCTCAACAGGTGGCAGGTCCACACTCTTCTTGTCACCGAGCTCCTGTGGTGCTATGTTCTTCGAGTCCATCTCATGTTTGGGGCCTTGGTGTGGCATTTCGGCCATTGCGCTCCTTCCATCAACCTCTCGTCGCTCGTCCGCGGGAGCTTCTTCCGGTGGTTGGCCAGGCTTTTTGTTCCGTCGTAGAAGCAGAAAGACGGCGGCAGCGATGAGAGCGAGCCCACATACGCCACCGACTACACCACCAGCTATAGCACCAGTGTTGCTCTTGCGAGGCTTGCTTGCTACACTAGGCGACGGCGTCGAAGACGGAGACGTCGAAGGTGTCGCAGATGGCGTTGCAGAGCTCGACGACGACGATATTTCGCTAGGTGGTGTACACGAGTCGATGCTGTAATAGACGAAGGACGAATTGTGGCAATCCCCTATGCTCGTGAACTGGAGGACTGTCGACGAGCACGGTACAAATTCTTCGCTGTCGGCCCCGTAAATCGTAGCTAGTATGGTCAATGACTGAAGCTCCTCGAAAAGTTCAGGACTTCGCTCTTACCACTGCAGCCTGGGTCTAGTCCGACGACTTGGAAGCTTCCGTATTTGCCTTGGTCCGCAAGCCTCGTGCAAGTACCATTGGGCTTGTTGCAAACGTTCAGTATGTCTCATGCAGCTCGTATAGTAAAACTTACATAGCCATTCTCCGCGTCGAGGCTCTGGAAGGCGTTTTTGCACTGGCTATCTGTGAACGTCGCGATTCTTGAGCTAGAACCAACTTGAAGAAGAAAAGCGATAGGCACAAGGCTGAAGGTCATCAAAGACTTGAAGCTCGAATACGCCATGATGGTGCAAAGTGAAAAGGGCTTGCTTGATACGAGTGCCGCTGATGGCTTGCTTGAGTCCGGAAGCGTTGCAGCAGGAGGATCGAGAGGTGGGCGGAAGCATATTGCTCGTAAATGCGGCTCACTTGTCTGAATCCAGAAAGTTGCTCCATGTTCACAGGTCCAGTATGCGATAAGAAATGATCGCTGCAAAGAAATAAGCCAGCCTGATCACCCCTGTTGCTGACAGCCTATCGTAGTCCGGGGAAGCACACATACGTAGGCGAACAGCTAGCCCGAGAGCTGAACTCGAGCCGTACAAGGCAGTTCTGTAGAGAGCATCCTGCATTCGGCGCTCAATCAGGATGCCGTGATACCGAGCTAATGCGCCACCAACCCCATGAGAGGCGTGTTCATTGGCTCCCGCAGCGGTTGGCCCCGACACGGCACGCTCCCGGCTTTAGTCGACGTAGCCTTTCCCCCGCGGAGACGGTTCGCAGTAATTAATGTCATGTCATCTGTTCAGCTTCGTCAGCCTTATGCATGATGTGAGCAAACACATCGTGACGAAGCAGGCAATTCACGTTCAAGGCCGTGGAATACGAGCGGAAGAGCGATCTTGGACCCCCGACCCGCCATTCATGTCTGGCATCGGATCGTTATTTTCTAATTGTAGCAAATGCGCCCTCATTTTGTTCAGAGCCTCGTCCAAAAATGGAATTTGGTTGTCAGAACTAATGTTGAGGAGAGTAATGGCTATACAGCCTCTCCATCAGGTCTCCACCGACATGTGGTATGGGGAGAAGTATAAAGTCTGTCCGATCAGCCGAGAAAGTCCTCAGATCAATCCAAGGCTTACAGAAAGAATCATATCCAGATTAGCCATCATCATGCGCGCTTCAGTACTCGTTGCACTATCGTCCTTTAGTCTTGTGGCTTTCGGCTGCACCACAGTGACCAAGGTCACCCATACCTACTACGGGCATGTTACTAGGCGAAAACCCTAGCTAAGTATTCCCAACTAACAGTGCTCAGGTACCCCGATAATGACCCTCCAGGTCCGGCAACTGCCTACGACTGCGGCCGTGGTTTCAAGGCTGGCGGTACGGGCACCTATGCCGACCCCCTAACCTTTGCCTCTGCCCCTGGCGAGTTCAACCAGTGTGAGATCATATACGATCCGTACACGAAAAAGTACTTGCGCTTCGAGGACTTCTGCGCTCAGTGCGACACCGACTGGAAGGCTAGCCCGCGCATCAACCACATCGATCTCTGGACTGGCAGTACCACTGTGAATGGTGGCCAGGAACAAATCCAATGTGAGAACGATCTTACGCCAGCAGAGAGGAGCCAGACTATCGTGAGACAGCCGAGGCAGAATCTCCCAGTGGACAGTAAGTCGCGAGCCATAACGAGGCTCCGGGAAGAGGCTGACATGCAATATCAGCGACCAAACTGTACGTCAAAGGTGCCAGCCCGGCCTGCCGAACCAGCCACGTCTTCCCCAGTTACAACATTGGCGACTATTGCTAGGCCCCATAGAGTATTTTCCAGGGTCCAAGAGGTTCAGTGCGATTCGTCCGATGGACTCGGTAACTTCACAGTCGTTTCCGTATCATAGTGAATAGAAGAATGTCAATGAGCTTTCTGAAGTGCTGATCCGGATCTCTTGGCTGCAAAGCTTAGTACATTGCCATGTCATCTTCGTGTTTGACCCTATGAATGTACCATGCTGCATTTCCTCTCGCTTGCGAAGCTCGTCGGCTTTAAGTGTAAATTCTTTCGGCAGGGTAAAGAGAGGGACAGTGCATGTCGCGACACGCGTCTGATTAGCATTATCCTGATAGAGGGTGCCATTTTCTCTTGCACTTGTATTTGGTAGACGTGTTTAAAGCAACGTTGTTGGTTGTAGTGGTAGTGATGCATGCCGAGGAACTGTCACGCCGCAATGGCGCGTTCCTGAGGCAGCGCGATTACGTGGGCCTAGCCTAGCCCCTCAGATGACGCGCTGGACACGGCGCTGCATCGTCGACTCAACCACAACACACGAGCTCCAGTCTGGGAGCGTACGCGTCAACCTTTGTCAACCAGTCATCTGATGGTTGTGTCTGAACACCCTACTGTGTATGTACATGAAAGGACGAGGCTCGTCCAATCCCGGGAGAATCGCGTGTACGCCTAGGCAAACGCGACTCACTTCGCGGAGAATTGCGCAACCAGTATTTTGTCCATGCTGAACTTTCTGATCATAAAGCTGACGATGAGCGCACTAGCTGAGAGACCTGTGACCATGACGAAGACCGAATCGAACCCTCTCATGTAGGAGGAAAGAATGGCCCTTTTCTGCGTGGAGTCCGCCATTTTGCGCAAGACGAAGATGTATTGCTCAGAGTCATGAGCGATCGACGTGGGCAGGCCTAGCTCTGAAAGCTTGTCGGACATGGAGTTGGAGAAGACCGACCCTGCGAGCTTGAAGGAGTCAGCATTGGGAAAGGAGATCGGATGAAGGCTCAACTTACGGCGACACCGATGGGCATACCCAGACTTCGGAGAAAGCCATACATGCTCGCGGCCATCGCTGCGTCTTCTGGCTTAGAAATGGCCTGAATACCGACATTGAGACTTGTCAGTACCATGCCCATGCCAATACCAAGTACGGCCAGAAGCGCTGACGTGACGACAGTTGTTGAATCTACGTCGAGCATGACCTGCAACCCGCATGCAAGTGTCGTAACCATCCAGCCACCCCAAATCGCCCATCGGAATCGTCCAAGACGCGTCGTCAATATCGAAACAATGACGGAACTGGGAACCGTGAGGAGGACGACCGGTAGCATGTCAATACCCGCCTGGGTAGGATATCTCCCGCGAACACTCATATCGTAGAATGGCCAGTAGTACAAGGTCGTGAAGAGCTTGATATGTGAGATTGTATCTGGGTGATGACTGGATGGGTACTTACTAGTAGGCCATTGATCAGCGCGTTGTAAAACGCGGCGATTGCGCTCCAGCTTTCGAACACTGCCAAAGGCAATAGGGTGTGCTCTTTTCTGTACCATTGCCACAGGAAGAACGCAACGATTCCTGTCATCCCCGCGATGATAGGTGCAAGAGTCGCAACTGAGTCCCAGGGATGCTGGATGCCGCCCCAAGAGATTCCAATCAACAAGCTCGTCATGCTGCCAATGAAGAGTACTGCGCCCAGCCAATCCACTCGCTTGAGCTTCTCCTGGAATGTGAGTTTCGCCACCGCGTCAAGGCGCACGAACAAGATCGCAACAGCGAAGCCGATAGCGCAGAATGGATAGTTGATGTGGAATGCCCATCGCCAGGACGCGCTTTCCACAAGCTTACCACCAACTACGGGTCCGATGATGGACCCTATGCTCCAGCATCCGAGAACCATCGCGAAGTATTTCGGGCGTTGTCTCAGCGGCACGATGTCGCAAAAGATGACTTGTGTTAACGTTATAATCCCACCACCACCAATTCCTTGGATGCATCTTCCTCCGAGCAGCTCAGTGAAATTGTCTGCGACTGAGCATAGTATCGTACCTGTATTGTAGAGGCATGGTTAGCGACCATCCACGACACAGAATGACACCCAGACTTACCGACTGTGAAGAAGAGGAGCGAGGCGATGAGGAGCTGTTGCCGGCCGAAGACAGCGGATATCGATGCGATGACCGGCTGGAAGATGGCAGAGGTGAGAAGGTACGATGTCCCCGTCCAGAACGCTTCAGCCGAAGTACCATCAAGCTTTTGTGCTATTACCTGTGGACTATGTCAGAACTTCCTTACAGCACTGAGTAAGAGGATGACTGACCGGTAGTACCGTGACTAGGATTGTGGCATCCAGCGCCACCATCAATGATATGAAGCTTAGACTGATCATGATTACCAGCTCTTTCTTTTGTGGCTTCCATACATCGGGCATCTGAGTCTCGCCTCTCCTTCCAAAGTTCTCCAAGGACATGTTGTCGGTCATCCACAGCGAGTGAGGAGATACTGGATCTTTGGCAGACGAGGCTGTAATGTCTCTCGAGAATTCTTGCCAATCTTTTAGTTCTAAAACAGTCAGTGGAAAATCTTCGGAAGCCTGAACTCTTGCTGAGGTGTGCCAAAGTCCCCCAGCATTGGACACAAGCGAAGTTTATGGGCTGTGGACTCAGCCATTGACACCATAGCACTACGAAGCGCCATGCACACTACTGTACGGTGATATAAGAGTTCGGATGTACAGCCCTGCTGTGCGATATGCTTACCTGTGTTAAGCCTGATGTGGTCGTGTTTCCACGCACCACCAGGCTCGCTGTATTCATCGGTGGGCGTACTGCAGGAAGAGTCCCACTTGTCAAAGGTCGTCTCGTTCGGATGACTGCCGGCCGCCATTGGGGGCGAAGTAGGAGGAACGAGGATTGGGCAAAAGATCACTTCTCCTGGAGACCGAGTGAGTGATATGGTGGCCTCGGAGTCGATTGGGCAGTAAAGACCGGTGTCGATCTAGCTTCGAAAGTCGAAAACTAGTTGGGAGATTGGTTTACAGCGAGCGCCCGCTTCTATGGTCGAGGCTCACCTAAACACATATGCAGCTCCCGGATTGTAGTTGCGTCGTAGGCATTGAACATTGTGGCACTAATTCACGATGTCGTTGTTTTGCCTTCGCGCCCAGGCCGACCGCATGTCTGAACGAGCTCTCCCAAACCTACGGGAAAAAAAGAACTTGGTCCCCTTAGGGTAACAGTCGTGGCGTATCTTGACACGGGTGGTTGTTTTGATGATCGCTGCAAACGGCCAGCGCGATCCGGCTTCTACGCTGACACGTGCTCTTAGCCAGTCGAGGCCCGACTTCGTAGAATCGCACACTAAGGCAACTTGAAGGACCCAAGGCGCAGCTGATGTGTCGGGGGCTATCTGGCATCCACTTCTATGCTGTCAGATAGTAGCCTCAGCCAAGCCTTATAACAGCTCGACGAATCATATCGTTCATTGTCAGCACGGCAACTAGTGTTGGCCTTGACTTTGCGCAGCGGGGAAGCGCATCTACCACTGCACTCCCGCTGTGCTGCACAGTCCAACATGTGGCTGGCCTGCCAAAAGAATGTGGGGGGGCCGTACTCGAAGGGGCGCATAAGCCTCACGGACACCAAGCGTTTCCGAGATCCTCGCCTAGGGGCTTTTTTTCTATTGAGAACCGTCCCAACTGAATAACGGTACCGGGACAAGACCCGTGTGCGCTTCAGTATGTTTTGCAGGATAGAACGTGCACAGCCTTTCTCCTTTCAGACCATGGTCGGTCGCCGTACCCTCTCGCTGACTAGTAACCGAATAGGAAACATGAAGCGAGCTAAAGCAAGTCCACTGCAAGGCCGATCAATCCCATGGAAATTTCCGTCCGACTTCCAACGCCCTACGCGTACGCAATTCACATCAACAAGTCTCTGATGGCGTATCGGTTGGCTTCCGGTATCCCGATGTGTTCATGCTGGATTCTGCAAGTTCTCATCTCGTTGCTTTGTTCAGAATTCTTGCCACAGTGACAATACACAGAGTCTTTCAATCTCTTTACATTGGACATATCAACAACCAAAGAAGGTGGCATTGTATTCAGAACCGCCACACTATCGTCACCAGCCTCTTCGGACTTCTTTATCTCCGCATCCGGAATCACCTATTCGACGAGTATCATGCCAAACCATAAGACTACCAACGACACAATCCCCGACTTTGAGCTCATCGCTCCCTCCATATGGGTTTACGATCCGCGGCTACCATTTCGTGCTACACCTTTATCGTCGCAGAATAGTGTGGCACCGTCACTTATTCTGCTATGCACATGGACAGGAGCCCAGAACCGTTATATCGCCAAGTACACAGCAGAATACAGAACTCTTTTCCCTTCATCACGTATCATGGTTATCACGACTTCCGCGAAAGATCTCTGCTTCAGAAACTCCGCACGCAAACAGTGGCGCATGAGACCCGCCATCGAACGCATATCCAGCTACCGGTACCTGGCTGCTCAAGAGTTCAATAGTGGAATACTGCTACACGTTTTCTCTGAAGGAGGAAGCAACAAAGCCTGCGAGCTAGCAGAGGCGCACTACAGGTTCACCGAGAGACGGCTTCCGGTCTCAGCCTTGTGTCTTGACAGCACACCAGGCCACCCACGCTATCTACGCTTATGCGAGGCCCTCAACAAATCGCTACCTCAGATACCGGTTGTGCGTCACATTGCTATACTATTCGCCAGTATAGTGCTGGGCTGCATATGGATTTTGTACACCGGTATCAAAGGATTCGAGAACAACGTCATCAGTCGGACTCGAAAGCGTATTAATGATCCTATCTATTTCGACCCCACCGCACCACGTTGCTATCTTTACTCAAAGAGCGATGCGCTTATTGCTTGGCAAGATGTCTACGAGCATCTGGAAGAGTCAGCATGCGCTGGTATGCCTGTCACTGAAGTGCTGTTCGAGAAAAGTGGGCATGTCGGACATGCGAAAGAAGAGCCGAGACGGTACTGGGATGCTGTTTTTGCGACATGGCAAGACGCACAAATCATGGAGAAGGAGAACGTATATGCCAAGTTCTCCGAATCAGAATTTCTGGTGCTAGATCTGCCAAAATTTCCGGACTTCTCCAAACAGAGGTGGAGCAACGGCGGATTTCAACGCATTTCCTGTTGAGCTGTATTGTGGGGAATGGGGAATTACTTCGCTGATCGTTCCTACCTGGTTCCGATCCTATTCCACAAATCTAATTTCTTTGTCTTATAAAACCAGTTCTTCGCAATGACACGCCTCTCACTACTTCTGCTATCCCTTTTGAAGCCACACTAAACACCGCATATGGCGGACTGGCCATTGCAGAAACGTTTTCTTTGTCATACTTTCATGTCGATCATCAGCTCAGCGCGACTTCAAATGTTCAGCCAGTCCTCAGATTTGCACACACCTGGGCATCCAGGACTTCTAAGGTTACCGTTGAAGGATTTATGAAAATGCAGATCGATAAGACATTGAGGTGGTACACCATCAACCGGGTCACTGGGCCGTTACCGCTAGTGACTATCGCGGCCGGATTTGCCTAGCGTAAGATCTAGCGTGGAAGTGGCTTGCAGCCTGACGCTGCGTGGCTGCACCTCACAGCAACAACAACAACTTGTTCCTTGGCGTGTCTTTCAGATTCAATAATCATGCTGCAGGCATAACATCGGTACGCCGATGGCTTCGCTGCACACTGATACCCAAAGGGCTCCTTGCGAGCCATCGTCAGCCCGGAGGCTCCAAAGAACTCGTTGTAGGTTGCCGTGTTCGTGGCCCCCTCGTCGGATGATACAGCTATATGAGACTGTCTGCAGTCAGCTGTCGTCATAGTATCCGCACAGCCTGAGATCGTTCTGTCAAGGCCAACCCAAAGCTTATGTTCGGCCGTCAAATCTCGATCGGCTCAGCCACCACCTGCATGACCCAGTGAACAACACATCAAGACTGCCACACCTTGTGTCAGGCTGCAAAGTGGCAAAATAGAAGAGACAAGGTCTACGGGATAGTTGTTGCTGCATGTAAGATCTATCCAGACCCCGAATTAAAATAGGAGCAGCACTACCAAACTCGCATGTCAAGGGAAGCCTACTTAACCTCGTGGGGATTGGATAAACCCCAGGGCAGCTACGATGCACATGTGATATCATCGCTGGAAACAAAAATTAGCGTACTAGCGGCATCGAAGTGCATACGTATGCAAGTGTGAAGATTTGAATGACAAGTACAAATCTGCGTCCACGGTGGAATGGATGCAAGGTGAGCACACGTATATATATACATATAGTTGTCCGTTCAAGTAACACGGGCGTATGCTACTACCTTCCCCGGATATGAGTAGCCATCAACATGATTTGTATCATTTGCTGCCTCTGTGCTTCTTGAACCTTGCTCAATGTCAACGTCGAATAACCTACCGCAGGTCTGCAAGCTAACTGCGATAATCCATCGAACCACCGTAGAGCCTCCCACGCCTCCTTTCTCCATTCGATGTTGCTATCCCCCAGAGCAATCTGATCAGTAGCTATCTTCCCAAGAACAGCCAGCAACGAGGGCAGCGGCGGTAGTCCAATACCACCTTTGTATTGTCGAGACCGCACAATCTCCCGAGTAACGAGTACGATAGACTTGTATGCGTCGATATGAAACACCCGTCCAGCTACATATAGTCGTCGCGCAATATTATCGCACTTAACCATCATAGAAGCGTCGATCCACTCCGTCTTGTGGTCACAGTCCACCCAACGCCAACGACCATGCAATAGCTCGAGACAGCCGGCATCTTGCTCTTTAAAACCCGAACGGCTTATATTCAGTTCTTGCATCCACAAAGGCTTAGTATTGCTGGTACTCCCCTGAAGCTGGCTTACGGAGAGATGGTAATTGTCGATAAGCGAACGAAGAAGCGGGAACATGGAAGCGTGCGGGAAAGACGTTATACCAGTATTGAGTACCTGGAGTCCATGGTATACGTCAGGAATAGCTCCGAACTCGAGCAAGATCTTTACCACTTCTTGATGATTGCGTTGGATTGCAATGTCTAAAGGATCAAATCGAGGCAGCCAGACATCGGTGCCCATAGGAGCTCCTGCGACACTCACGATACCCTGTTTCCAGGAGAAAGCGTATGACTTCGACGTTGCCGCTGTGGAGAATCTCGTGATATGCGGCGATAACTTCCGGGTCCATTTTGAGCATGTGCTTCGGTCGCTGGTCTTCCTTGAGGAAGTGCTTGATACAGTTCAAGTTATGGCTCTCCATAGCAAGACGGAGGAAATCAGGTCGATCTCGTTGCGCGAGACGAACGAAGCGTGTTCGTAAGAAGTCGATCAACTTGTTTGCTGCTCGCAGATGACACCCTCTCATGACTGCCTTGATGGCTTCTATGATGACATAGAATTTGTCTTCACACTTACACTCGGTTGTGGTCTTAGAGTAATCGTGGACAGGGGCGTAATGCTTGCAGCTTTCGTTGTCCGTCTCCAAACCCACCTTCACTTTAGCAAGCAGATACTCAATCATTACACTCTTGCCTGTGCTAGCTGCGGCTTCAAGTACGCTAGGGAGATGATCAACGTGATAGCCGAAGTGCTGTTCGAGGAAGTCCGTGGTGTGGTTCAAGAAGTGTGCGACAGCTTTGAAGTTGCCGACTGCTGCTGCCCCAGCTAGAGCGTCCGAAAGGGGAATTTCTGGGTCGACAATCCGGGGATAAGCCGCTACCAGATATTTCTTGATCCAAATGGCAAGACCTTGTCTGAGTCGGTCACGCGGGGTAGTGACTACGACGGCTCGGACGAGATCCAAGATGTACTGTTCCCGGAGCTCAATGACGTTGTCATCAGGTAGATTGAAGCGCATAAGAACATCAACAAGCTTGTTGATGAATGCTGGGAAAATGTCCAAGTAGCCATCTTGACTCCGAATGCGGTTCAATAGGTAGGTCTCCGCATGATCGACCACGAACTGAAACGGAGACTTCGCTTGATGAAGCTGCAAGCCGGCCGATTCCATAAAAGCTAGGTACTTCTTGATTGGAGTCTTGGCGAGCAACTGGTGGTTCAGGACCGCGGCAAAAGACCCTAGTGTTATTAGTGGTGATGGACGATACTGGCACCTTGGAGACTTACTGCAGACCAGACGTGTACGAAAAACTTCGTCTAAAAGAGCAGCTTCAGAATAATGTTCCAAAATACTGTTGAACAATTCAGAGGGTAGCCCGAGGAGAAGCATGACTGAGAGCGTTCGTGATCTTGCGTCTTTGCAACAGCGAATTGAACTACGTGGATCTAGGCCGTCTAATGTAAATCGGATTTCATACGATAGAAGAAAGAATTGAGGATCTGATGACCGCTGAATGCGAAAGCCTGCAATGGTAAAAGATTGGGCCAGCAGAGGGGATTTAAGGCCAGGATTTAGTAACGTGGTGTAAAGTCAAGGTCCGACACTAATGGCAGTGGGTACCTAGGTAGCCTAGAATCGTAAGACATCGAGTGAATATTTACCTCTGTCAAATGACCAGGCAGTGTGATCTTACAGTAGCGGTAAAGAATAGTCTTTGGCAAGTACGACCATTTCCTAGGTCATCGTCATCGTCGCAACATCTTTGCTTCGATTACTTAGATACTCCGCGAGAGAAGTACTAGCAGCGTCGAAACAAATATTCACTATCCATCGAGAGTTCTTAGCTCTGACTACATGTGGCCGTGCGAATGCTGCCTAGGTACCAAGGGTTCGATTGGTAGTGGCTCGCTACTGTACTGTAGCTGCGAGGGCCTGAAAAGTGTTGCTTCAGACTTTTGCTGATCGCCATTGTTTCAACGCAACGGGCGATATACATATGCTCGTGACCGAAAGGTATGTCATTGGGGTAGTGTACTGATGCTGGAGGTTCAAGGCGAGCGCGAGCATCCTTATCGATAAGCACTAAGAGCAACCACCAATCATGAGCCAGTTTCGCAAGATCATGTGGGTCTCGTTCTTGGCGATCTTCCGCTCCGCAATCGCCGCTTCCTCCCTCGCTCAGCTTACCACTTGCATCTATCCAGGGTGTCGTCTCACGGATGCGTTACAGCACTTGAGCATATCAGGAAATGCTTCATATATCAACTATGAACCGAAAACTTCGTTAAAGACCGATAGGAACGCGCCCACTCAACACCTCCAGTTTCGCCTTACGATTTTCTCAGTTCGCATCAATCTTGCCGATCAAGAACCTTGGCGCAGGTCCAGCAGCCTCATCCGAGTAAGAGAAGTGAGCGGCAGTGATAGTAAGCGTACCGACGCATACAAGATCACCGGTAGCACAGTATACCTCCAGGTCTTCGCTAGGGTAGTCAGAGATGCCACCACGGTTCTGGAGATTTCGCGTGTAGCCGAAGAGCACGACACCCTTGACCTGATCGCGAATAGTAGTAGAGAGCTTGGGAATGGCACCTGCGATCACGGCGGTACCCTGACTGTTAAGGAGTTAGACATGTCCTCAAGTTGGGAATGCGTAATGAACATGTACGTACCTGTAGCCGCCAGCAACGATGGGAGTGTCAGGACATTTCTGATTCGCTTGTTCAAACAGGCCCACAGCTTCATTAATCGCAGCCTGGGAAGTGCCGCCAGGCAGTGCGTTCGAGCCTAAATCAGCCGAGTATGGACCGCCAACACCTTGGACCCACACATTGCTGGCACCATAGTTGCGCTCAAGAGCACTGGCTACTGCAGGGCCTGTAGAAGCACCCTGTCAAAGTGTTAGTGTTACGCGCCCTCAGTGGCTTGCGGTATCTGACATACCATGTTGCCACTCTCAGTGGAAGCCCTGGCAAAAATGAAGATTGCCTCTGGACAAGCCCCAGCTCGGCCATCCTCGAGCTCATTCCGAGTTGTTGTGCCGAAACCGAACTGACGCGCCTGTATCTCGTTCTCTGAGAATTGAGCTGCCGAGGAAATGGGCGAAGCCGCCGCTAAGGCAGTCATCATTGATAGCGTGAAGTACTTCATGTTGAGGTCTTGTTGAGACTGGGGCACTTGGGAAAGAGGAAGGAGTCAATGGGTTGTGGTGCTAAGATGCGAGCGTGCTGTTCAGAAGAGCGGGCCTCTTCCACATATTTATCTTCTTCCTGAAGATGAGCGCGGATATTCGGCCATCGATCAGCCTTCACTAAGCCAGGACATCCTCGGAAGTAACAACGCAGCATTGATGGTTATTGGATCAGTGAGTTCGCGCTCTAGCGTTCCCATATCTCCACATGCATCCCCCCACGTATGACCTTCCCCGAAGGCACGCATTTGGCAGTGGCTGCAGAGTGTTAGGCTATAGTTGCGGGTCCATCTACGAGTCAGTGCCTTACAGCCGTAGGCACTGTTTCCCTTTTCACAATAAGGAACGCTCCGCGGCCATATTATCTGTATGATGTGCGGATATCATGAGCGACCTCAGGACTAAGAGTGTAGAAAGCGAAGGGATCAGAGGCTCCACGGGCAGTCACCCTAAAGCTGTGGAGTGGGTGCAAAGACAAGCACGAGGAACAGTCGTCTAGCGGATCAGGGTAGGTGCCCAAGGAAGTCAGCCCGGGCTGGACGGCTCGGGTATGTAGAAGGCTGGTCGAAATCACGATCCCATCGTCAGAGGAGCTGTGGTTCTTTCCGTTTAGAAGATCTAGAAAGGATTTGGGCCTCGGCTCGAGAGGACAAGAATGTTGGAAGCCTGTCATGGATGGCAAGCCACTGTACTAGCGCCCGCACGAACACAGCGGTCTCCACTGGCCACCCATGTCCCGTGCAGATCATCATTGGCTCTTGGATCTCTCCAATCGCTACCGATAACCCCTCGCGACATGATGTACATATCGAAATGGCGTGCTTGGCAGTCAGTGAGGCTGCCGGTCCAAGCTGCGCGTTTCCTGTAGCTTCGGGTCTTTAACCTGGAACGGTCTTGTACTTCAGTCGGCGCGGGAGGAACCGGCGAACTCCTTTACACGCTGCTGTTTTCGCGCACATCAACGACTCTGCGATTAATTCAGTAGCAAGCATATTTGTTTCTTGACAGACGACAATAAATAATCTCGAGGCTGTCAATGCAAGAATTCTTAATCAACGTACGGGCGACTTATCGCTTGGTGACCAGTCCGGATTGGAAAATGCGTGGATGTGGATGCTGGTAAGCAATGGCAAGAATGCCAAGAGTGTACTATATTGTGGCGCGATATGGCGGGTGGTGGTAGATGAGTAACAGTCAGACATCGTAAGATATCTCGCAGCCACAAACATCCAAGAAAGTGGCATCTTCACGTTGGAGGCGATGATAAGGACATCAACCGGCAAATTAACCAAATAAGAAGCAAGCACCTCATCCGTCGGTCTGTTTAGCCGTAGATGTGAATTGAGTAACGAGCATGGCACCGTTGATGATGACATCCAAACGAGGGACGGTTTCTACAATAGCAGGTGGCTTTGAAGTATTGTTACCCAGGACGAATCAATGTGGGGGTTGTCCATGTCCGCGGACTCTGCAGCTGAGTTGTACACCTAAGATCAGGAAGAACGAGACAGATATCTGAACGTGGGATACATTAGGCAAGTATTATGAATTGACATTAAGGATAGCCGTGACGGTTAAAAGTCTCTGCCACTAAGTATACGCAGACCTCATCATCAATACCTCAGCTTCTTTGTTCCTCTAGTCTTCTTGATCCACTTGGCATCTCTCTTACTCAGTTCCACTGCACTCCTCTTCCTCTTCGCATCACCGCCACCAATATTGGCAGCAGTGATATTTCCACACTCGGGTGTTGTCAAGCTTTGGCCAAACTGATCCGCGGCCCAGATGAGAACACCGTTCGACCACCCGAAACCTTCCACGACCTCATACTCTCCGCCTCCACCGGCAGCGTTGGTGCTCTCGTCGGCATACTTCTCGAAAATCGTTCCATTGCCTTGAGAGTCGGGAAGTTGAGGTACTTCGTCAGTCGCGCCACCAGTGACACGCCATGTGCAGTACAACGAGTCAAGATAGCGCTGTGCGAGGCGGAGTGATAGGTCTTGCGTCCAAATGTAATCTTCTGTGGATTGCTCATCATCTTCCTCGCTGACCTCGAGAGGGGTGTTGAGTAAGCCTTGCATGAGGATGTATTGGAGCGGTGGCCAAACGTTTGGTTCATCCCACTGCTGACCAGTCTGAAGGTTCGTCGCCGCAATCGCGCCGTCTCGCGACTCGAGAAGCTCTTCAACGCGTCCGTATACGCGCCTCATTGCCTTGGGGTCATTCTTGATGCTCTCAGGAGCAGCGCCCGTCCAGAAAGGATAGAACTGGGAGATCTGGAACCATATTTGTTTTCCGGCTGGCGCACCTTGAAGTGACAGGGGCGTGCTCGTATTATCGGCCAGGGTGTATACGTTCTGACTGCTAGATGTCAAGTTATAGTCGAAGTAGCTGTAGTGCTCAGGTGACCAAAGGAACGTAGTCATCGCCTCGCTACGGTCTGCTGCCCGATTGGCCCACTCGCGCGCAGCAGTGTAGTTGCCCTGGTGGCGATGAAACTCAGCAATGGTGATCTCATTGTAGTAAAGGATCGAGTTGAGCTCCACCGGAATAATCTCAATAGTGTTGAGCGAGCGAAGAGGGAAGAACGTATCCGTGACGGCGTCAGATGGGTTGGCTATCCAGCGTGCCGAATAATCCCATCCACTCTCTGCGCCTGAGGCCAGATTAGAGTATAGTGTCGCCATTTCAGTCTCATTGAGCGACTTTGTTGCGTTGAACTCTTCGCCCTCTTCGTTAAAATAGGTCGCATTGTTTGCAGTCACGTAATCCTCGTAGTAAGACTCAGGTCGTGGCTGGGTGTTCGACACGGCATAGTGGTTCAAAGAGTAGTTCATACCGGCGCGCTCGAGCGTTACAGTACGATTGTTCACCCAGAAGTCATACTCCATCTCCAGAATAGGTAGCGCTCGTTCAAGGAGAGTATAGTTCTGGGTGTATTCGACGTAGACCCGAACCATCTGAGTAAGTAGTGGTGGCTGTGATCGATTCTCGTAGTATCGCCGGGCGCCATTGGGTACGAAACCAATGTCTTCGACAAGATCCAGGAAGTTTTCGATGATGTTCTCCGCAATCTGAGTAAAGGATCCCTGAGTACGGAGTAGACCTTCGATGATCCAGAATGAGTCCCAGTAGTATGGTTCTCTAAACCGACCACCAGCTACTACAAAGGTACGGTTGACAGGAAGGAAAGAGTTGACGCATTCGGAGCAGTTTCCAGCCCCCACATAACGGCGCGTCAAGTCCGGCCAGATGTCGATGACTTGACGAGTGAAGTCTCGAACGACAGAGCTGTTTACGTTCTCGAGGAAGTCTGGCTGAGTTTCCAGCTCATCGGTGGGTACTTCTTCGAGCTCTGAGCCGGCTTCGCCAAAGTATTCGGAGAGGAAATCGTTCAGCGCAGTGTTGTTCTGGATTGGCCTTGAGAGATTGGCGAATGCTGCCAGGACTTCGTCGAGTGGGCGTGTTGTTGGCCTGCCATCAATGAGCCGTGATCCAATTCGACTTCTTATCTACAGTACTTACAAGTCAACGAACGTCTTCGAATCCGCAAACGGCCTTGCGAGTTCAATCTCACGAAGTAGGTCGCCATAGCAGTAGATAGGAGAGTCGCAGGGCGCGATAACGCTGCCATTGATGAACAGCGCGTTCGCCAATGGCGCGCTCGTAATGAGGGCAGCAGCCAATGAACGCATTGACACCATGGTTGAGGATCAGCTCTTGTCAGCAAAGAAAGTGATGAAGCTGAACCGATGCATGGGCAAACGGTACTGCCTGCTTAAGTACTCGGCCCTACGAGCCTAGTACGCAAGGAAACCTGCCATTCACCGAGTAGCTCGGGTACTTTGACCGGTTCGCACACGTACGTGGCTGGCCAGAGCACGACGAACGCGCATCGTCATCCTTGGCAATGTTCCCAAAAGTACCCAAGTCGTTCTTCGGCATCAGCAAACGGCGTATCAGAAGCGTGGAGCTGCTGATAAAATGTGGGGAAGTCAAGCATTCCCCGCGAGTGCGGCTGTCGAAAATGTCTTAGCGTGATGTCATCGCCGTCAGCCCCGGTCCGAACCACGGAACACAACACATGGACGGCATGGCAGATTCTGCTCACCGCGATTTTGACACTACCTCACAGCTGTCACTCGTTTCCAATCCGATGAAACAACGAGAGAAAGATGCAGTCAAGCAAGACTACCTAGGTATATACGGTGAGAACGATGGAGGCACAACAGGTACTAGTCTCTAGGTCAAAGCGCGTGGCTCCTGCCCGCGATCATGTACGTCGATTCTTCGTCACATGTCGCGTCAATGTTTATCCTGTGATACTCGATCAACTACGGCAATTGGAGTTCTCCACATGTGCGCGACTCGTACCCCGACACCGGTGTTCAGTTTGTCGGAATAGCAGAGAAAGCAGCCATGGGCGCGTACAGCAGCGACACCACCGTCACCCCATTAATTCATGCACACCGCCGTATAGCGAAGAAAGATCAAACCGAACGTTCAGCTATTGAGCATCTACCATTACATTCATAGGCTATCGTAAGCTGTCATTTATTATTGATTATTCATCCCCAAAGAAAATTCTTAATCCACCGCAAGACAAAGGGAGATGACTTGATGGCTTGCTACACCGCACCTTAACCGCTTGTCCGTACTGGAGTCTCTTGTGTAGAAATCTCTTGTGTGACTTCGACCAAAGCTCCTCCTCCAGCTTCCAGTACGTATGTGGAGCTGGCTGTTCCTGTCGTAGCGC